TGCTGACTGAAGACACCCCTCACGGGGTCATACCACACAGGAGGCCGGGCCTTCTAGGGCAGAGCCCCTTCCCCACAGCCGGCTGCTGCCCAGGCAGCTTTAGCTGCCTCTCAAGTCAGCACCTAGCAGGCAGCTGCGCACCCCCCCCCCCCCACTCACACACACCCACAGCCCTCAGCGAGGGAGAGTGCTTTTATAAGGCTGAACAACCTGCCGAGCCCAGGAAACTCCCTTAGAAAGCACACACACTCCCTTCTCTATTGTTTGGTTTTGGTACAGTGAGCACATATTGCTTTAGTAATTAAAAAAAACAATTTTGTTTTTTTAACACGCACGAAACATACAGCCCAGCTGGTTCAGTACACGTGGCTCAAGCTCACTCTCAGCCCAGAGCCAAGAAGAGGCTCTGCAGGTCTAGGTAGAAGGAAGGGGGAAAAAAAAACCACTCCAAAGAGAATGGCCCCTTGCCCACTCTGGGGGAAGAAGCCTGCAGCTCACGTTCTTGTTTCCTGGGAGCTGCCCAGAGACTCAGGTCCTAGTGAGGTCAGGGCCCTGGACAGGGACAGTCAACTTTCCTGCTATTGCGTCGCCCTTGGCTTCCCTTGCACCTCACCCCTGGAGCTGCTTCATGCAAAAGAGAACCAAACCTCTCCCACAGCTAGGACTCTGGGCCCCGCTGCCATTGTCCAAAGCCACCAGAACACGTTCCAAAGGTGCCCTCTCCTGGCAGCTGGTGCCTGCGGAACTACCTGGGACAAAGCTCTGCTCGGAGTCCACTGCTGCCCTCTTGTGGCAGCGAGGGGAATCGAACCGAGGGTCTCAGACCCCTGCCCTCTGGACGGGGCCTCTCTCAATTCATAACTTTCCTTTTAGGTCAAGGCCCCTAGGGGAAAAATGAATGGCCCTCACACCTACTAAGTCTAAAATACTTAGGCCCAGCCTTAACCAAAGCCCAGAATAAAAGAAGAGCTGTTGGAGGTCAAGCAACCCCTGCACCCCCATCTTGCACACTGGAGAACACCACACCCTTTAAATTATGTCAAATCCTCACACGGAGGGACAAGGTTGGACTCTGGGAGCAGGTACTGCTTGTGGCCATCTGTCCTTGGGAGCAGGGCACCCCCAGTCCACCCAGGGCCCATATGGGGATGAGCGCCAGCTCTCAGATTCTGCCCAGAAGCAGGTCCCACCATCTCCCCCTGCTCCTCAGGCCCCGAGGGAAGTCTTCTAAGGCCGAGAAGCTCCCTGGTCCCCGAGAGCCCACCATATCCCAGCAGCACCCCCACCTCCCTGCCCCCCTTCCCTCCCTAGCACCTAGCAATGTCTGAGGGCTACATTCGGCTCCTTGACTGTCTGCTCCGTGCTGGAATGGAAGCTCCCGAAGGAGGGGAGCTCATCCTGTTCCCAGCTTCAACCCCATGAGTCAGGTGGGGTGCCTGGTGCACAGAGGGCTCTCAGAGGCTGCCTGTGAAATGAATGCTTGGGCTGTTCTCTGGGGTTTTTCCCTTAGCCCCTCCCCCTTACTGGGCCGTGACGTCAGTCTCTTTACGTGGGGAAGGGTTTTATCACCTTCCCAAACACCCCAAGAGCCCCAGGTGAGGTGGGGGGGATTTACCAACAGGAAATGGCCCTGGAGCCCTTCTAAAGACTTTTCAGAGCTGCCCTGGAGGAGAAGACCCAATGTCAGACATCGGGGTCCCAAAGTACCTCCGAACCTCTGCTCCTCACACCTTAGGCTAAGGCAGTGGTTCTCAACCGGGGTGATTTTGCTCTCCACCACCCAAGACATTTGTCAACGTCTAGACACATTTTTGGTTGTCACACTCGGGGCAGGAAGAGCTACCGGCACCTGGCAGGCAGAGGCTGGGATGTCGCGAAAGCCTACGACGTACTGGTATCTGGCTCACCCTGTTAACAGGTCGGTACCTGAGAAACCCTGGATTGAGGTGACTTTTTTTTTTTTAACTTCCTAACAACAACAAATATATATATAAAAAACCATTGGAACTGGTGATTCACCTAGGAAGATAGAACTCTGACCTGAAGACGATAATGAGTAATTACGAGAGCTCATACCACTGTGGGTGGGTGGTAGGCAAGGCCCGGGACTGGGCGGGGACAGACCCCCGCTCAGCACCGGCTTGCTGGCTCTGGGCAAGTTACTTCTCCTCTCCTTTCCTCAGTGAGTGGGGACATTATTAATTCTTCATAGGATTCTGCCTGGCATGCAGTAAGTATTCAACAAGTATTAGCTACTGTTAAGAGAAAAGGGGGATAGAAATTCTTTAAAGTCCAGCCAAGCACATGGGGCCACAATCCCTGCTCTAAAAATATCTGTCACATTCCCGGGCCACCTCTGGGCTGGATGCGGGCACAGGAAATGGACGAAGGGGCTGAGTTGTTGCCATGTGTCCCGGGGACTGCTGCTCAACACTCAAGCTTTCAAATGTTTGGGCTGTTTGCTTGGAAAGAAATGATTCAGTTTCCATTGCTCTTTATTTGGGAGGCATGGGAAGCTGGGGGAGGGGGAGGAGAAGAGTCAGCATCCTGTCTTTCAGGACTAAAATCTGGGCTTCAGAAGGAAAAGAGGACGCAGGGTGGGGAGCAGAGTGACAGGAACAGAACAGTAACTGGAATTACTTGGGCTCTCCTGGAGGGGTGAGGGTTGGCTAATGCTCTGTCCACTGCGGTGGCACCCCCCCCCCCACACACACACACAGCCAGAGTGTGCAGAACACAGACAGGGAGGAAGAGGCCCACTCGGGGTGGGGTGGGACCAGCTTCGGGAAAAGGAGCCACCCGCTGAGAATGGTGACTCAGGGTCCCAGAGGAGCAGAGAGAGCCCTGAGTCAGCGTAGCCAGGATCAGCCCAACCATCACCAGGGTCCTGTCCTTCCCCCACACCCCCCACCCCAAAACTGGAAACTACATGGGTTTCGAGGCTACTTGGATCCGAAGCTGGAATCCCAGCGGGTGAGGTGGGGCAAGTTACTCAACCTTGTTGAGGCTCTGTCCCCTCTCGAGTGACCTGGGGTCACCTGACTTCCTTCACGGGACACCGTCCGCTGAGCACATGCACACAGCAGGTGTTTGATAACTGCCGGCTCTCTCCCTCCTTCCCTCCTGGCTGTCCTTGACGGTCATCTTAACCTCGTCACACCTGGAACACGTGTGGTGTGGGAAAGGGGAGCGGGCAGCCCTGAGGGGACCGCAGTGGAGCAGGGGTTCACAGCACCCCCTGTGCTCTCAGCTCAGTACTCAAGGTGCTTTTCATTCCTGCCTCTCCTTGGACCCTCACCGCACCCCCTCCCCCAATGCAGGACAAACAGAAGCCCCCCCGTTCGAGGAAGGAAGCGGAGCCGGGGGTGGGGGAGAGAAGAGGAACTTGCCCAGGGTTGCTGGGTGGCCTCCCACTCCTGGGCCCTGCCTTGGCGACCTCCAGATGACCAGGGCGCCCCCCCAAACTCTTCCAACCGGAAGCTGAGGCCACACCTACCAAGCCGGCGTGCACTTGGAGCAATCACACAGGAGGTGGGCGCACCTGGCGGCAGTAGCAGGGACTTGTTCCCCCCGCAGTTTCTGCTGTGGGCAGGGCAGCCTAACGGGTAGGAGCGTCCGCTGGGTCCTGCATGTGGAGTCCTGGCTCTGCCCAGGGCAGGTCACTTATGTTCTCTGTGCCCCCACGGCCCCCGTAGAATGGGGATGCAACAGCCCATACCACAGAGGGCTATCGGGAGGACCAAATACACACGAGGCGAAGCGCTTAGCAAGGGCCTCCCGCAGACTCAGCCCGTATTCAGACAATGAATGTTTGTTAAACGCAAGAACGAAGGGGACACCGGAATCCCAGAGGTCTACTCCTAGGGTGTGCCATACAGAAGAGCACCTCTACCCTTTGTGCCTACAGGTGGCCTTGGGAGGGAGGGCCTCTTAAACACGCAGCACGCTTTTCTGTAAAGGGCCAGGGAGTAAATATTTTAGGATCTGCTATCTATTCCACTCTGGGTGAGAGACAGTAGGTCCATAGTTCGTGTGGCTATGTTCCAATAAAACTTTATTTGTAAAAACAGGCGGCGGCAGCCCCCGTGCTGCAAAGGTTCCGCTGAGGGGGCATCTCTTCACATACCCCCTCAGCCCCGAGAGCCGTACCTGCAGACCAAAGGGTGCCCCGGGGCAGGGGCAGGGGCCGGGGCTGCAGCTAGGGAGAAGTAGCCAGGTGGCAGTTGCCTGGGCAGCAAAAACAGGAACTGGCCCACCGGGCCACTGCGTCTCTGAAACTGAAGCTCAGCAACCACAAACGGAAAGAAGAACACAAGTGGTGGAGGTAGAGCAGAGGCGGCATGCTTCCCGGGGTCCCCGTGATGAGCTCCAGCCCCCACCCCCCCCAGCCACACGGTGGGCTGAGCCCAGGGCTCTCCGGGCCTCCTGGTCCACACGTCCCCAACGGGGACTCCCCTGCCTCCCTGGCCTGTCGCAAGAAACACTTAAAAACAACAAAAACAAAAGGTGTGAAGTTCAAGCTTGGGCCAGCAGCTTACCCAGCTGGGGACTGTCATGAAAAATAATACAAATAAATGATGATAATGCTTCTGACTTTCCAAGCAGCTGGGATGGATCAGGAGCTCTGGGAGGTATTCTCCCCCGAGAGCAGGGTGACAGCCTGCCTCCTGGTGGGGACCCTTCTACCCTGTTCTTACCATTCAGAAGACAGGGACTCGAGCAGTATCCCCTTGTCTGACAGTGAGGGTAGAATGGAGACAGAGAAGGGGCGTACAGGCCTCCTCCAGGCCAGGGGTCCAGCTGGGGCCGGACTGCCCCCCTCCCCAGGTGTGTGCCTCCACCTACCTCAGCCTGACAAGCTGGGAACATGTCAGCCCCCACCATCCTCTTGAGAGAGCACACACCCAGATCAGAGAGGCCAGACTTAACGTGACGAGCGTCAGGAGCACCCCCGGCCCAGAGAGAAATGTCCAGCTCCCACTCAGCTGCCAGTGACCTACCCCTTCTTCAGGTTTGTCACGTAAGCGCTCTGGAGGGCAGCTTCCAGGAAGTAGGTGAGCTCATAGTCGACGGGTTGAGAGCCTTTCAGGTGCCGTGCCGTGGTGTTATTTGTGATCTGGGAAGGGGAACACGGAGAGAGCCACTGTCTCAGAGTTCTGAGTCAGAGGGGCTGGGGTGAGAGTCAGCCCCGGCAGATCCGGCGGCCCCATCACCAGCGCCTGTCCCGAGCCGCCTCAGAGGCACGCCGTGCGCTTCTCAGACCAAACCCAATCTAACTTGCTTTTGTTTAACATACGTCTGAAACACGCTCTCCTCCTCCAAATGCTAGATGCCCACAACAGCCCTGCAAAGCTGGTTTTGTCTGCATTTCATAGACGTGGAAACTGAGGCTCAGAATGTGCCTGAGGTCACAAAGCCAGCACGCAACTAAACCTCCAACTTAGGTCTGGCCAGTTACAGGCTCAGGCTATTTCTACGACTTCTTGGTTCACTCAATCAACAAACCCTTGAGTGACTACCATATACCAGGCGCTGTTCCTGTCATATAACCACGGGATGTCAGAATAGCCCCACGGCTAAGACCCCAGGTTCCAGGAAAACCTGAGCAGCAATTGTGTTATTAACTGACCTGTCCTCAAGCCTCAGCTCTAAGAGGATCATCCAGCCCCACCAAGATAGGCCTGCCTTTCCTATGCCACCTCCCTTCCCTGATCCAAGAAACAAATCAATGAGCCATCCACCTTATCTTTAAGAGAGCTTCTTACTTCCTTGGAGCTTGGGGCTGGGTCGTAGGAGGGACACACAGCATTCCTGAGAATGCACAGGGTTCCACCGCCTGCCCTCCCCTGACCCGAGATAACCAGCTCCCAGGGCCCGATTGTCAGCCCACTGCCACAGGGCCCTGATTCCGGCCCTGCAAACCACAGCCCATCATCGTAACCCCCTTTAAAAGTCAAAAGCCTAGGCTTCTGACTGAATGGGAGACTATTTCATGAAAGTTTTCTCTACACCACATACAGTTCTAATGGGAAGGGCTCCTGAAACACTGCTGTCTAGCAGGGATCCACATGACCTCAGCAGAGGTCAATTCAACCACGCCAAGTCTCCGAGTGGACTTCTGCCAGGGAATGTGCTTGAGTGTTGTTTTCCCTGAGTCCCCCAATCACTTCTTCCTTCCTCCTAAAATCCAAACAGGCAGAGGGACTCTAGGGTAGTGACACTCAACAGGGGCACGATGTTACCCTCCAGGGACATTTGGCATATCTGGAGATAGTTTGGTTGTCACCCCGTTTTGGCTGGGAGGTGGGGGGCTGTTGGCATCTGTAGAGGCCGGGGATGCTGCTGAACATTTTATAATACACAGGGCAGCCCCACACAGCAAAGACTGATCTGGCCCCAATGTCCATAGTGCTGAGGCTGAGAAACCCAGCTCTGGAGGATGACTCCTCCAAAAAGGCCTGTCACAAGACAGGTGCTGGATTGACATTTTGGCACTTGCCGAAGTAGGTGAGGCTCTGGGCTCTGACTCTCAGCTCATGACACCGACCCCGGGGGGCCTCTGCCGTGGCACCTGCCTTCTAGTGCCTTTTAACTGTCTACTGAACAGAATGTCTAGGCACCAGCCCCGAATTCTCCCCTACGAGTGATCAGAGCCACACTCCCAGGGTTCCAATCCTGCCCATGCTACTTAGCAGCTGTCTGAACTCCTCCCCAAACCCGAGCTTCTCACTTGGGAAATAGGAACACCAGGGCCTCTCCCAGCCAGTGGGTGTGAGGGTTAAATTCGAGAATGGCTGTAAGGTACTCAGAGTACTGCCTGACACAAAAGCAGGAACTCAGTGACCATTTGTGGTATCCTTGTGAAATGGAGCTGTCTGTCCTCCTCCCATTAAACCAAGAGCTCCCCAGAAGGGAAGAACTGGGGTAACATCACAGTGTACTGCTAACACGACAACTCTGGCCTGCAAACAATTCATACAGGCCTCCCGCAGGGGGAGTGGGGAGAAGGGGAGGCCTGAGGACTTCCAGACCCCGGCTGGCTGGCCTCTGCTGGCCTCTGCAAGGCTCGGACAATGGGCTCCAAGGCCTCCCCTCTGCCTGCCGCTCCCCCTGCTTGTGCTCTCTCTCTGTCAAATGAATAACAATAAAATCTTAAAACAAAACAAAACAAAACCAAAAACCTCACCTACTAGACGGGGATAAACACAATACCTACTTCACAGAGTTGTGGTGAGGATTACGTAAGTTTAACGGGTGCAGATAGGCTGTCACCTTTGGTCGTCCGAGTCGAGCTCACCCAGGAGGCTCTGGGCTCCCTGGTGCAGACTCGTTTATTCAATCTGTTTGCTGGAGGCGAAGGGTCTCGTTCTGACAGAATAGGTCTACTGCGAGGAGCTTTCCAACCACTGAGGCGGAGGGGCACTGGAGGGGTGGAGGGTGCCGTTTCCCAATATGCACAAGGGCGATGCACGGGCTTAGTGGGGGCCTGCTGTGACAGGTGCTCCATGGAGGCAGCTAGAAGCGGAGTGCCGTATTCTCAGCTCACCTTCTCCAACTCCTGCAGGAACACCTGAGCGATCCAGGAGGCCCTCTCGAAGCAGGTGATCACTTCCTCCTCCCTCTCAGTCAGGCGGTGGCGGGAAGCGATGGAGTTGGGCAGGCGTTCCAGGGAGAGGCCTGCGGGAGGAGGACAGCACCTCAGACCTGCCCTGCCCTGGCCCCCCCTGACCCCAGGCCCTGCTCACGGGCCCAGGGGTGGGCTCACCCCGGGGAAACCCAGGCTCAGGAGCAGCCAGTGGGGGGCAAGGTCGGCGGCAGGGAAGGAGGAAGCTAAAGCGGTGGTATTGGTGGTGGCTGGGGTCAAGCTGCGGGCTGACAGCGGGCACCCCCAAGCCCCGCACGGAACCACAGCATGGCACCCCCACGTCCAACTCCTGCCCACCCTTCCAGGCCAGCTCCTACAGGAACCATTCCTGACCCTCCTTCCAAGTTGCTGGCCGGAGACACCCGCTGCCCCGGCACTTGCCGTTTCTACGCTGTACTGTGGGTGCTGACACCCAGCTCTTCTCTCCCCCTGTCGCTGAAAGCCCCACGTGGGCAAACTGTGAACCCTTCTGTACCACCACTGCAGGCCCTGCTGTCTGCACACGACAGAGGCTGCAGCTAGGCCGCACTTCCCAGGCACCCTTCCACGGATCCAGCTTGGTCCTCGCCTAAGTTACTCAGACACGGGTCAGCCTGCAAGCAGACAGCTGCCGCCTCTGCCCCCAAGGCACCCACTCCGTCATTTTTTTTTATCACAACGAATTTTTTTTTTCAGTAAAATAAAGTAAAACCATTGCTCTAAAGCAAAAACAAAAAAGAAAGAGTCCAGAAAGGGTCAGAAGCCAAGAAGGGAAAGCACTGTTATGCCTGTTAGCGGTGGATGCCATAAAGGAAAACAACTATACTTGCATCAGTTTTGTTTTTTTTCAAGACAAGAAAAAGACTGAATAAATTCATGGTCATGGAGAAGAAAAATCTAGAGTCAAGATGAGACCAGCCTGAAGAGGGCAGACACTGTCTGAGCACCCTGCCCGAGGCTCTACCCCCGAAACGTCCCAGTATACGCGCCCAGAACACCCCACCCTGTTTTGCGTCAAGTCAGTCCCGACTGTGTTTCTGTCACATGTGACTAACACTCAGACCTGACTAGAGAGTGCTGTCCTGACTGGTGCTTCCTCACGGGCAGCAGCCAGGTCTCTCTCACCTTCGTGTGCCACACGGTACTTTACATGCAACAGGTGCTCAGGATGAACTTACTGGAGAAGCCATAGGAGTAGAACCCCCAACTCTCTGCTGCCCTGTGCCCACTGATGACCGTGCCCTCAATACTTCCCTTCCCCTACCTCCCTCATTTTAGGCTTCACCTCTCGAGTGGATGACCACATCAGCCTCCCTGGCCTCCCTGCCTCCAGTCTTGTTCTAATGCGTCCTGCACACTGCTCCCGGGGTGATCCTTCCAGAACTCCACTGCTTCAACCCTTCAGGGGTCCCCAGTGCTACAGGGTGAGGTCCAAACTCCTGGTGCCCCATACCAGCCCCTCTAGGATTCCATCCCTGTCACCGGGCCATCCTTGGCGCTTGCCATGTGCTACAGGCTGAATGTTTGTGCCCCCAGACCCCAGGTCCTATGTTGAAGACCTAGTGTCCAAGGTGATGGTATTAGAGGCAGGGGTCTGTGGGAGGTGACGAACAGGATTCGTAGCCTTATAAAAGAGACCCCAGAGAGCTGCCTCACCCCTTCCGGCACGTGATCACAGAGGAAGTCAGCAGCCTGCAACCCAAAAGAGGGTCCTCACCATAACCCAACCATGCTGGTGCCCTGATCTCCGACTTCCAGCCTCCAGAGCTGTGAGAAATAAATGTGTGTTGTGTATAAGCCACCTAGTCTGTACTTCGTCATAGCAGCCCAAGCTAAGACACCACAGCTGCTTGCATCCACAGCCAACCTCCTGTTTCCAACTGCTGACCTTGTTCAAGTTTTTCCTCCTGCCTGGAATGCACCCCCCACCCTCACCTAATCCCCTAGGTCCACCCCAAATCACCACTTACCTTCTGCCCCTCCAAATACTGCCTCCTCTGTGGAGCCCCTCCTAATATACCCTGGTATGACCAACCCTTCCCTCCTGGGGCCCCAGTCTATGCTTGACATACTCCTGCCCCACCATTTCTTATACTTATTTCTTCGCACGCTTGCCCAGTCAGACCGTACGCTTTTAAAGGCACAACCATCTCATGTTCATCTTTCTACCGATTGGGTGGGCACTAAGCAAGCACCGGCCGGCTGGCAGAAGACACGGCAAGCCTGATCCTGCCTGACAGAGTGCAAAGTGCCCTGCAAACACAAGGTAAGGAATTACCGTTTTGCTTGGCTAGATCCCAACTCATATGGATTTAGTGACCTTGTCCTCTGCCAGGCTGGGGCGTGAACGGGTCCAAAGGTTGGGGTGACTTGGCCCGGGCAAAGGCAGGCACAGAACATGAAGGCCCTTGCTCAACACAAAGACTCAGTGACCAGGGTCACTGAATGTCACCATGCCTCCTGCCAAATAACTCATGACCAGGAGGGAAAAGCTCCTCACTCGCGAGCGCTGAACGGGGCAGAGACTAGTGGGAGTCCTACAGGAGATGCAGAAAGAAGACGGAAGGCAGGCACCACTGCTCACTGCTAGTGCTGGCCCCGCCCCTCCTCCCTAGCCACGGGGCCTGTCCACCCCGCAGGAAGGTGGGACAAACCAACTGTTCGGAGGCCTGGCCTGGGAGACCAAGGGCAGACGGCGGGAGGATGCAGACATTCCAGAAGCCCTACAGTGGATCTGTTTCAACACGGTCACTCTGTGGCTTATGTGAGAGACAGGCTGCCAGCTGGGCTCCTTCCTGCCCCTAGGCTGGGCCCAGACCTGGGATGGATGATGCCAGCCGCCTGGCCGGCTCGGGCTGCCTCCAGTGGGCTGGCCACTGCAAGGTGGTGAACTGAGTAACATCTGTCAGTGGAGCCTCCACTGTCCACCGTTTCATTTGTTCCCCCTGCACCCAGCAGGGGCCTCTCTGCCATGCTCCTCTGGAAATTCTCAGTCTCGTCCTCCTGGAAAACTCGCAGCGAAACCACCTCCTCTCTGAAGCCGTCGTAAGCCTCCTGACCTCAGAACCAGCAGCACGTTTTCCCTGCATCTCCTTTGCATATGCCTTTACCTACCCTGGAACCATCCTCTCTGCCCATTCCTGATTGCTCTTGGCACCCAGGGAGAGCAGGGCCTGGTGACTGGTGAGTGGATGGATATAGAGCTGAATGCACTCATTCACTTATGCAGAGGAGCGAGCCCGCGGGCTTTCTCCTGCTCCACTTACAAAATGGTTTTTTGCTGAATTTATAAAGAAACTGTGGCATATTTATACAATGGAACACCACTCAGACATAAACTAAAGGACAAACTCTTGATATACATACAACATGGATGAATCTCCAAGAAATCAGATTGTGCAGAAGAAGCCAGATATCAAAAAAGTCCATGCTATAGGATTTCAGTTACATGACATTCAAAAAAAAGCAATATAATCTGTAGTAATAGAAACGAACCAATCACGAATCATTGCCGGGGGGCTGAAGATGGGGGTAGAGCGAGAACCAACTGGAAAAGGGCCTGCAGGAAACTTCTGGGGTGATGGCAATGTTCTTTGTCTTTAGTGGGGTACTGGTCACATGGGTATTTACACCTGTCCAACTCACCAAATTATACACCTAAGATCAATGTACCTCACTGTATGAACATTGGTCAAAAATAATGGATAGAATGCCTTCTCTGAAGGAAGCAATTGTGAGAGCAGAGAACTGAAAGATCGAAGTACAAGAGCTATGGTCACTAAGGGGGTCCTCTGTGAAATAATCTCCAATACACATACAACCAAAAAGCTTCCTGGAGCTGGCAATGGCTTTTCCTAATGAGGGTCACAGTCTAGGCATCTAGTTCTGCCCATAAAAAGGGGCTTCTTGACCTTACATTTGCTTTTTGACTCCCACGAAGGTCCATTTTCCTGTCCACAAATATCTGATGGGAAACCCACTCTAGCCCTTGGGTCCCTTTACCCTCTGCCCTGTGAGCGTTTCTACACCAGTGGCCAAACCACAACACTAGATCCAAGATGAAACGGGCTGCTCCTCAGCCTGGCCCCCAAAGGACCCCAGGGGTTGTCAGACAGCCCTGTAAGTGGGCAGGAAGCCAGGGGCTGCCAGGAAGCCCAGGGTACTGCCTCTCGAGTCCCATTGGCAAAGGGGCCTTTCTGTGAAAACACCCAGCTCTACAAGCCAAGGGAGGGCCCCTTTCAAGAACAGTACTTGCTTTTTCATTAAGTTGGAACTTTTGGTTTGCAGGCAAGCTGATCTGGTTTAGCCCTGGGCTCAACACCCTGGCGGGTCCCTGCCTCTTCAGACTAAGATGACTCATCACATCACAGATGGGCATCTTTCCAAGAAGCCCCACCCTTGGAGCCCTGGGCCCTAGATGCAGAGGTGGAGAGCACAACATTTCCTCTGCAATGGAACTTTCCAGCTGGGTGGACCTCTCCCTCCCTCCTACCCAGTAGGTCCAAGGGCACAAGGTACCCACAGAAGGCTAAGCCCAGATTTAGGTACCTAGGCTGAGGGGAGGGAGAGGAAGAAAGGCAAGTTATTGCTTCAGCCCTCAGGGAAGAAGCCTCATGCCAGGTAGGGAAGAACCCTTATAAATCACACTCAGAAGCAGGGCACTTGTGGGAACACAAAATGGTAGAGATGCTGTGGCAAACAGTGACAGTTCCTCAAAAAATTACAAACAGAATTACCTTATGAGTCCAGCAACTCTGCTTCTGGGTGTAGACCCGAAAGAACTGTAAGGAGTGTCTCAAGGAGGTATTTGTACACCCATGTGCATGCAGCATTAGTCACAACAGGCTAAAGGTAGAAACATTCCAAGAGTACACTGATGGGATGAATGGATAACGAAAATGTGATACATGCCTAAGAAGGAAATCCTACCATAAGCCACATAGATAAACCTTAAGGCCGTTATGCTAAGTGAAACAGGCCAGTCACCAAAAGACAAATAGTATATGATTCCACTTGTATGTAGAACCTAAAGTAGCCAATTCATGGAGACAGA